CCATGTTTATTTAAACCAAATCATAATTGAAATAATGATGATACAAAACTGTGACATCTTCGCTACAACATACATTTCTTAATCTTAGAAAAGTTGTATAAAATTGAACCAGTAAGAAATACAATAAAAAAAACAATGACAGCTACAAGTAAAATACGAATATCCTGTTTTTAGCTGCATTTTTGAAATCAACGAAATAATTTACAAATCTGAAGATGAAAAAGGTCAGTAAAAACTGAAGACCAAACATGGGTATTCTCACAAACTTATTACAAAAGATCGTGTAGAACATTAATACAAAAGATTTCAATATTAGCTGCATTATTGCCACACGACCTTCATTGTGTCTGCCACAAAATCATGCGACTTGAGAGCTGGTCTTCAATATAGGGACTGGAGTCAGGCTGCTCCAGCCCCGGTGAAGATGACGTTCTTTTTTATACCGTATCCCATTTTAACGTTCAGATATTTACTACAAACATGACATTAAACTGGCATATAGTTGAATAGGTTCGTGGCAAGTTGAATATGTGTCATTAGGCAGCTAGCGTAGAATGCGAAGATAGCACCGCTCATAAGGGCCCAAGAGAAGTTGAAGGGTGTCTTCCGTGATCTTCCTTCTGCTGCAGTGGTCTATGAAATGGCAACATTTGGTATTGTTAGGAAGAATCACTCAAGTTTGGAAGCAAAAAATAAATTTTTCCCTGCTATGGACCGAGCGGAGGTCGTATCCGCCGTCAATTATCTCGATTAAGAAAAAATGTTTTACATTACTCTTCAAGTATGTACTCTCAAAACAAAGTAAATACTTATTTGGAGAATATTTTCCAGATGATCAGAGGAGAATACATTTAGTTCTAGTAGGAATATCTCTCAAATTGACCTGTGATCATACCCAAAAATGTCCAGTATCTTTTAATAACGAAAATAATTAATTTTTAAAGAAATAATTTGAATCACATTTTCATCTCGTTCGAAAAAGGCGAATATGTTTTGCCTTATAATTTCTGACAAACTGTTTTTGAAATTGAAAAAAAAGATAAAGTGACAAAAAAGATGAATATGTTTTTGTATTGAAAGCAAAATTCTATTTAAAAAAATAAGGATCTTTAAAAAGTCATGACACATTTTTTTAAAACGAGTTTTTTCTACTTGAAGTTACTGTAGTTTCATGATTTTTTTTACCAAAACCGTCTCAATTTTTCTTTAAGTTTTCCTACAGAGGGGTGCTAAAAGAATGACGTAGGTCTCATTTTTTGAACTCGCTGAGATTTCCGAAATCGCAAAAAAAGATAAAAATAACGTGGGAAAGTATATTTGTGGGGGCACAAACTGTTTAGCAAACTTTTCCGGAGCTTCTATCGATATATTTTTACATTAAGGCATAGTACATAAAATGTGACTCTTAAACCCTTTTAGCAGACATGGATCCAAAATCAAATGAAAGCTATTTTAAATGTCGCAGTTGGCGAAAAATGCAACTTAAATGTACAGTTCATTTAATGCTGATTTTTACGTGGGGAAATGTAGACTATCAGCGTCGCTCTTCTGATCACAGCAGGTTATCCTTTCAACTCTAACGGAGAAAGGTGTCAGTCAGGAAATGGAACTTTGCGATTCGAATTTAGTTCAGGAGGCTTCTTTTTAGGCGTGAGATCGTGTACGAGCAGTAAGTCTACCATGGTAACAGCTGGCTTACGTTTCCTCGAGGAGAGTTTACGAAAGGAATTCGTCGTCCTTAAAAATCTACGGCTCTTATCGGGTTTGAAGCCGCAAACGTGTGCACAACACGCCCGACACGGCTGAACCCGAACTGTCGGGCGCGTTTCAGTTGCAGTTGGACCACTGCGGCGGCGCGCGTCTGGGAGCGGCGGGGGAGCGACGCTTGGCGGCCTTTATTCAAGCCAGGAGAACCCGAAGCGGAACTCAAATCGGATTGGAAACTGTTTACGAGCATTGTCTTCCCGGATGAGCTCCTCAGCCGGCGGAGATATCATTCCGCGGGACGCCCGTGAAGGGGAGCTCTCCGGGGCTGTTTTGACGGTTGCGCTACTCGCGGCGCGAACCTGGGAGCTGACGCGCCGAGGCCGCGTCCCAGTTGAACATTTGAGGCTCGCCTCGGGAGGGACAGCTTGTGGAGGGAAGTTGCTGCCGCTGCGCCCGACGTCGTCTTCCGAGATGTTATTGTGTGGCGTTGCTGGGTGCAATGCTTCCGTCCGCACAGCGCTTTGGGGGACTTCATGTGAAATCCGGACGACCAGCATTGTTTATTCAATATTCTGTGTTCAATACTTGGTTGCCTGCGTTATTTCGGTGTGCGAATTTTCCATTGACGGTTTTCAATGCTGCAGTAAGTAGCAGAATTTGTACGAATTCACTTGCGGCTAACGTCTTAATTTAACGATTGTTTTGTGCAGCACACTAAAGTGATACCTGAATGTTTATGTCACGGGCGGTTTGTCAGATCCATAAGTGAATTATATTTTTAACGTTACGTACGTAGTCTGTAAATGCATTAAAAAAAATCGATAAAGCTTCTGAAAGGAAAGTTTCTTTTGACTTGTAGAGAAATATATTGAAAAAGGCAACGGGACCTGATGACATGTCTTTCTAACTATTATGTTGTTTAAGTCTAGTTTAATCTGAAAAACATGAACTTGTAGCATATTTATGCTACAAATTTCTCAGAATTTCTAGAAGAAGATATTTTTTGATTCTCTTTACTCAAGGCTAATTTTTTTGTATATTTCCATTCTCTTCCCAGCTCCTACCTGTAGGCACATGAATTACATTTTTTCACATTTTCTAAGTTTTTCCCCTCCCTAATTTTCGATTTGAAATATGATCTTAAGATTATTATAGCACAGTAAAAGTTAGACCAGTATAAAGCTTTTCATTGAAAAAATGGAGCCGTTCTTGAGAAAACGTCATATTAGCTTTCCTAAAAATCGGCTATTTTGAGCTTATTTTCACACAAAAGTTGTGACTTTTCGAGAAACTTCCTCAAAAAGCATTTGAACCAATTGTGCTCACAAATTCAATTTTGAGAAAAAATGCTCATAATGTAAATATTAACTACGTGATCGCGTTTTACCGTGATTTATCTGCTAAGCAGTTTAAAACAGATTTATAGTCATTTTTAAAAACAATTGAAAATGACCTTGAGACGTCATGTAAAATACCTTCAGAAATTATAATATCCGTTGAAAATTCAAGAGGTCGCCACGTCAGCGAGTTCGATCGGGAAACATCAATTTTGGTGAAAATTGTGCTAACGGTTTAGCCACTAGCATTTTTCTCCGGGGGACTGACTGACGTTTAGCCATAAACCAATTTTACCATTAAATTGCTTGTAAGAGTAGAGTGAAATGCACCTAAAATGGTAGTTTATGTCCAATTTTTATTCTTTACTATAAATTTTCGAAAATTGTAAAAGTTTGGAATTTTTCCGGCGTCTTCCTGCGAAATTGAAGATAGAGATTGTAATGATCTATCTCGCGAAGGAACTCACGATCTAGTCCGCTACCATACGCAGCTCATAATTGCTTTCTACCCGCGCGGCGACTCGCCCGCAGACATGCTTTCGCCGCCACTCCTAAGGCTCACTAGGCATTCCAATGCGAATCCGCGCAATGAAAGATACAAATAGATAATGAAGTAAATTACTGAGAGCGTCTTCGCGAGGGCCTCTTTCCCACGGCTCCACCACCTACGTCGAAGCATATGCAAAACACACCGATCACTCAAAGAGAATAAAGCAATCCATAGACTTTCAAGCAAACTCTTGTTGAGTCTGTGTCCACCGCGAGCCCTGACCGCCGTCCCCGAAGACGCCCCGGCAGCCGGCGAGGTGCATTTTGATGAAGTCAAACTTCAGGTGGCACGTGACATCACACTGTATGTCATGGCACAAAGGCAAAACCCAATATGTGAAAAATCAGTAGTTTTTTATTTGATTATTGTATTTTTTGTTATTCTGTAAAATGTTGCATTGTCTTACCCACAGGGTGTTAATTGTGAAACACTTCATTGAACTTGCTACCTTATAAATCCCACTGTTACTCACTGTTCAGCCAGGCTGCTCGCTTTTCATGACGCGTCCGCAGGTTCGCTTCCCGGTCTGGGAAAATTATGGTGTGTGATTTCCTTGCAAGTTCCAGTATCTGTTGCTGTCTGACGAGGAGAAAGGTAACTTTTCAGGTTGTGAAGACCAGAAATAAGCGTAGGGATGTATATGGGCTAACCACACGTATCCCTTAATCCATTGCCGTAGGGACGAGACGCCGCGGACCCTTTTGGGAATGTTATGTCAGAACAGACAGACCTTATACATATTTATTATCTATATATAAGTAAAAGGGAATGCGTGTGTGTCGCACATACACGCTACTCGACCGATTTCCCTGCAGTTTTGCACACTCTGTTCTTATTAGTAACTGGGGGTGTTTAAAGAGTGGTGTGAATTAAATCGGATAAGTGGGGAGCGCTGATGATTAATTCGTTCACTAAGACTCAAGCGCCCCTGTTTTAGGCAACCCGCAGCACAATCAAGGAGTGCTCTTCATTACCTACAAGTAGTATGCCCTTGCGATTCTGAAATATTGGCCGGAATTATTATTTAAATCTTGGATAAATAAGTCCTTTCTCCAAGTTAATGTCATAGTGAACGCATGTCTATATTTGAAGGAGACCATTTTAACAATAGGATACTTGACAACCATATGCAAACCAGGACACAGAACAAATCCGTACTTTCGAGAAAGTCGTCGAAAAATATTATCTTTATTTCTCCACACCCGTGAGGTTTCGAAAGGGTCGTCTCAGAAATCGATTTATTTGACATATCGAGTTGTGGTCGTTCCACAGACGGGCATGCCAGTACAGAATGGCAGACAGACCATATAAATATTACAAGTAAAATCTTAATTTCGGCGCACCCGTGAGGTTTCGAACGGGCCTTGTGAGGAATGAGGTTGTGCCTTCGCCCAACAGGCGGTCCAATGTGTCGGGCGTTTGCAGGCGCGGAGCGGAGGTGCCTGCAGCTGTGGAGGGGAGGGCGCGCGCGCCTGCTGCTGGCGATCGCGTGCGGCGCGCTGGTGCAGCTGCTGGTCACGTGGGGCATAGCGAGGCTGTCCACTGTCCAGAGCTCATCGCCGGCGGACCGCGGGTCAACGCCAAGGCCGCAGATCGTCGGCAGAGAACCGACTTTGGAATACGAACAGAGGAGGCGTAACTTGAAAAACGGATTACACGAGTTTTGGTACTACATGGAAACGGAGTTGCGCAAGCTGCAGTCGTTGCAAGGCAAAGACAAAACGCGTGCAACCAATGGAGTCAAGATCGAATATATTCTCGAGTCAGTGGAAGAGCGCATGTTGACGCTGTTGGCAGACTTCACCTCGATGCAGACGTTTGACGGATACGACAAGTGGCGAGAGGCGGAGGCGGCGGAGCTGGGCGATTTGGTACAAAGAAGGATCATCTTCTTGCAGAATCCTCCAATCTGCGCCAAAACCCGAAAGCTGGTTTGCCACTTTGCAAGATCGGCTAGCTTCGAAGAAGAGTTGCACCACGTGGTATATTGCTTCATCGTGGCATATGCCACGCAGCGCACGTTGATTCTGAAACCACGAGAACCGGATTTGGGCAAAGAAGCCTGGCAGGAGTTTTTGGAACCACTGAGCAAGAAGTGCCTCGATGCGAACGGGGCCTCTCACAGCGAATGGCCAGGAAAAGAAGAAACGCAAGTGCTCTATCTGCCAAAAAGATCCTTCTTGTACCCTGCTCCGCAGTATCTGCCCCCGCGTGTGCCGGCGGACCTCGCGGCGCGGCTGGCGCGGCTGCACGGCAACCCGCTGGCGTGGTGGGTGGGCCAGTTCCTCAAGTACGCCCTGCGGCCGCGGCCGCGGATGGTGGAGCGCCTGCAGCAGTCCGCCCGACAGATGGGCTTTGAGGCACCGGTGGTCGGAGTGTACATCAGCGCGTTCACCAAGCCGATCCAATATGAAGATGTGATTGCAATGTACATGAACGAAGTGGAGAAGTACTTCGATTCCTTGGCACTTTCTAATGAAGATATACAGCGTCGCATTTTCTTGGTAGCAGATGATCAAATATTAATTAATCGAACAACGCTAATTTATCATCATTACGAAGTACTTAAAAATCCGATTCAAAACAGATTTGGCTCCGTTGATTCTACCATTATCGACATACATTTCCTGTCTCGCTGTGACTACGTAGTATGCGCTTTTTCCTCACATTTATGCCGGGCGGCGTATGAAATTATGCAGACTTTGCATCCAGATGCTGCAGACCGATTCCATTCAGTAGATGACGTGTATTTTTACAAAGGGATGCACTCGCAACACCAGGAAGTTATTTATCCACATTATAGTAAAAGCGAAGAGGAACTGAATCTTCGAGTAGGTGATCAAATCAAAGTGTCAAGGAATTATTGGAATGGTTCCAGCAAGGGTAAACTCCTTCGCTTATCAAAGACGGGCTTGTTTCCGTCCTTTAAAGTAAAGGTAAACATGGAAGCTGTAGATTTTCCAACATACCAGCAAGTTCCCCTCAAGAATTTAACTAGTTAACACTCGAAAACGAAAAGTGTGCATTTACGATGGGAATTTGTGCATTTCGTGTTTACTGTTTGTATTTGTCTGTAGTTAAGGAAGACCAATCTAAAATACCTTAATTTGTGGATTACTTATTAATCAAATCTCGATTACTTGTATAATTGCAAATATTTACAAGTATTGTTATTGTTACAATTTATTTCATAGACTAAAAAGAGATGGTAATATTAAAAAAATGAAATATTGACAGGCAATGTATTAATAAGATTCAATTGAAAGAAATTTTAATTATATTATGCATTTCAAGAATTTGAATGTACAAAGGTGACGTTACCGTGATGAGGCTATTTTTATACAGGAACAATAACGTTTGGACTGTGGATGCCGATGCGCAACGTCTTAACGGGTCAGGGAATTGTCAGAAACGGGTCAGGTTGGGCCGAATTGTCCTTAACTTCATGCCAATAAAACTTGTGGCGTCACATTCCTTATGGTCTCTACGACAGCACATTCTTTCTTGTCATTTTAAAATGAAACATTTGGCGTAGTTCCACCATAAACATCAGAATAAAGCTCTTTCAGTCCCATTGCGACCATTTTCAATGCAACTCGAAGGCGGCTGAAGACCTTGGAGAGAATTATTTCATTTTCCAGAACTATGCCTGATATTTCATTTTGTAATGACTAGAACAGTTTAAACCTTACACGAATTACTCTATACACTGTCGTATTTTTGTAACTATTACGTAATATTAAAGTGCTTAGATGAACCCACAAAAAATGTCCAATCCGCAGAAATATTTGCACAGACTGGGATTCAAGCCCAGACGCATACGTTGCGCGTACAACTGGCTTGTTCGTCGCATCATAGAGAGAAAATAATCCTTTTTTGTCAGTAAGTATTAAAATTGAATTTTGACTAAAGTATGTGATTGAGAATGTAATGCACTACATGCAAGAGCAAGAATACCCACTTTTTCGGTAACAGACCTTCAAAATGTTTTTCGTCACTTTTACTTCCTCGAGCGCTACATCTTTAGTACAGAGACAGCAGCGAAAAGTGCAGTTTTTCGACATATTCGTTTTCTATATGTTGTTCCTGTTTATTATTGAAGTTAGAGATTTCTTTCTCATTGAATCTTTTCTCAATATTTTGGTTTAAAATCATATTATAATTACGTTTATTTTTAAGATATATTTTCCAAAAGAATAGTAATGTTCGAGATTATATTAGTTTTCTGAAATGTGGAAGGGAATCGTTTATACCTGTAATTTTTGTTGCTTTAGGGCTGAATGTGTAGCTCAATAGGTAAAAATATTGTTTACGGGGCCTAGATTTCTAAGTGGTTTTCGTGTTGCAAGCACTTTTGTATCTACAGCAATATTTATTCTCTAACCTTACGAATAGGACGCAGTACAGTGACTTTGACGACAGAAAGCCATTTTAATTTAAACTTTTAAAATTGCTTATTGCATTTCACAGAGTTTATTGCTGAAGCAAGGAGATTTAACATCTGTGAGGTACGTTGTATAGATCACT